GTGGACTAGAGAGCTGTTGTATCTGTTTTAGATTTCACTGCCTTTTAAAGCATGGATAAGGGAAGTCAACAACACAAGCAGGAATCACAAGAGAGGGCCCAAAAACCGGGCTCGTCGTACAGATCACGCAATGGACTGGGAATCCATAGTGAAAATAGGCTTGTGCATTCAGGGCAGAGAAGTCCAGACATGTTTTTCATGGTGCGTTTACATTTCAAAACGTTTTACTTGGCACTGTATGAGGAGAATGAATTTAGCTTATTATGTACTGCACACTGTATTTCCCACAGTGATTATCGTGATACCTAAAACTTTTAAAAAAATACTGGTGAATACTAACTCATTTGACATAAACTATATCCCTTTCTTCTACACAGCAGATATAAAAAAGCATTGAACAGTTTAAATTGCATAGTAAGACTTATATGAGCTTGAAGTCATCTGCTTTAGTTCATGGTGTTACACATCGAGAATTCTGGGCTGATCTCTAAAATCCACCATCTGTACCCCTGCGAGCTGCAGTAACCAAGTTATTGGCATGTGATCCAATCTGTTCATATCAAAATGTGTGAAGTGAACTTCAGATCCTGGGGAAAGATGCAGAAAAAAACAGAGTAACCACATTGGAGTACGGTGATCAAACGTAGTGTTGCTCTTAAAATGGAGAGCTTTAAAGCTATGTTTACAGGAGCTTAATCAAAACAAGGAATACAAATCTGAAGAAGAAACTGAAAATGTGCAACCAGGAGTAAAGACAAACCTGTCACTCACATTGAGGCATTAATTTACCAAGTATCAAGAGTTCGCGGTGCAACCTGTTTACAATGTGCTCCAGGACAGATGCTTTCTCTATGTTAAAAATGAAACTGTCTTAATGCAAGAGTTATATAATGAATAACTAAGTAGTGTATCACATATGTAAGAAACATTAATAATTAAGAGCACAACAAAGTTTACCTGGGCCTAAGATTAAGCATCCTCCTTGTTGGTTAAGATCCCCTTGAAAATCAAAAGCAGGGCTGTTCATTGCTCGCCACAAGCTTTTCACACTTCCCATGAGCGTGCTTGACTTCACATGAGGGCATGGAGCCGCTGCAGCATCAAAACATTATAGTAGTACAACTGTATTACAGCTGGAGTAAACACAAATCTGCTCTGTAATTTGGGAAGTTACAGACTATCACCTGAACATCTTCAGGAGAAGGACATCTGAGCAAAAGAACAAAAAACACAATAAAGTAGTCTACAGTCATTTGATAAATGTCTACTATTACCTCTTAATTATTTATCTCACGCTCTCGACAGATGCTTACCAATGTTAAGTTACAGAAGTGCACTTAATGAAGGATGACCTCATATTTACAGCATTCTTCAAATTTATTCATGCTCTCGATTGACTATAATTTGAATTCGCCAAGCAAATGCTTCTGATTTAAAAGATGATAAATGTATTGAAAAAGAGTACTAAATCATATCAATAGTATAACTGTAAAATTACAGGTAAAGGTTTTTTTCATGCTGAAAGGAAAAGGAAAGAGGCTCAACGTTCTGGCTGTGGAGCCTTCTTCTGGCCTTCAGCATTCATACTACACATACTTCAGCGTTCATACTACACACAATTCTAAATACGCAATATTTAAAGTTCAAGTAGGTAGCTGCGTCAGCGTGCGCAGGCTGCAAAGGAACAGGTAAAGGTTTATTCCACACTGAAAGGAGAAGGAAAGAGACTCAACGTTTCTGCTGTGAAGACTTCTTCTGGCGTCACCTGAAGAAGGGTCCACAGCCGAAACATTGGAGTGATTAAAGTTATCCATACCTCGTGAATCTGTAGATAAGAAATACTGAAGATTTAAACCCTCTTACGATTTGTAATCATCTGGTACTTTAATAAAATTTAGAGAAGCTCCTGGGAGTCTCCTAGATTGCCACTGGGTAGGAAGAATACAGAAGCTCAGACCCTGTCATCACGGGGCAAGTCAGAGATTTATTTAAAGATCTATGGCAAAGGTGAATGACCTTAAACATGTAAGAACGTAAGGTCAGAAATGAGAGGAGGCCATTAGACCTATCTAGCCTGTTTACTTGCTAGTAAATAAGTTGCTTCAAGGATCTCATGAAGCTGTTTCTTGAAAGATGCCAGGGTTCATAAGCAGGGCTAGTGAACTTGTTCCATATTGTGACAATATGTTGGGAAGATGTTGTTTAAAACTGCTGATCTGGGTTCTAAGTTTCCTATTCTATCTTCTAATTTGCGTTAAATCTGAAGAAGTCGACTGATCCAGTATGGATCAGATTTGTAAAAACATTCAAAATGTACAATCTTATTAGTACAGATTGGCTACAGACCACCAAATTTAGATATGGTGTGATACTGTCCATGACTTTGAGGATTTTGAATTGTTGAATCAGATCTCATCGTACTAATCTCAGTTCATGATTAGAGACCAGTGTACAACATTCCTTTAATCCCAAGACTGTATCTGGTTGCTCTTCTTTGGGCTGATTCTAGAACAGCAATATCTTTTTTTGTAGTGTGGTGACCAACGTTATACACAATGTTTTAAATGAGGCCTGCTAAATCATTGCATTAATTTTAACATAATATCCTACAATTTTGAATTCTGTGATTTTAAGGATGTATCCTAGCATTCTTCTTGCCTTTCAATTGCTTCCCCACATTGTGTAGAAGATGGATATTATGAGTTTACACAAACATTTAAGTCCTTTTCCTAGGCGGCTTCTTCAAACTTGATGTTTCCCATTTTATGTCTATAGTTTGTTTTTCCAACTTGCACGTATTGTTCTGCTCTAGTCTACATTTAATATTGTAACACCACGGGGGCTCAGGCGGGCGCCCTTGCCGCATTAGGTCAGCCCCGCACCGGGCTTGAACCCGGGACTCCCGTGTCACTCAACAGGGACCCAGCCTGGTGAGCCAAAGAGAGATCTCAATACAGCCCAGTAGCTGTAGTCCTGCTATCACAGGGAAGGGCGGTGATGTCACCTGCTCTGGTACGCCTGCTCTTACACAGTACCTGTCGGCCGTAAGCGTTACAATATCATTCATCAGGTGTTTACCTAGTTTAAAGTGACCCAGGCCTACTGTCTACAGTAAATGCTTTTCAATTGCCTTTGCTGTGTTTCTCTATCCTTCTAATTTGGTATAATCTGCAAACTTTCCTAGTTTACTAACTTTACCAGAAACCAGATCACAGATTTAAATTAGGAAAGCAGCAGTCCTAAAACTAAAAAATGAATCTTTTATGTGGAACTTTTTCAAAAGCCATATTGTATTTTCTGTGCATGCCCAATACTGTTCTTTTGCTCAAAGAACTCTAACGAGTCAATTAAGTAAGACCTATGTTTCCTAAATCATAATAATGAAATAATTATCATTTCCACAACAAAAAGAAAAGGATGCAATTTAATTATTGATCTTTATACTGTAATAAATAATTATTAAAATAATTATCGGGTTTATAATTCCTTTTTAGTTTTTTGGATGGGCAATAAATTAGCAATTCGCAGGTAATTTATAAGTAAATTTTTGTTCATGGATGGTGAATATTACCTCTCTTTTGTGTCCTGGACTCTACCTGTAGTTTCGCAATAAACTTGACAGTACACTGTGCTATCATAACAGTTCCTAATGATTCTGACACCTGTTTTCTACATGCTATCTTGTAGACAAATATGGGCATTCCCTTTTATAGGTGCTGTGTCAAACCATGTAAGGACGCAGTGAGTAGCCATTTGTAATATTTCACTACTTCTGCAGTTGGTTTTCCCAAGACATTGTGACTATGTGAAAAAGTCTCTCATAAAGACTACTTCTTCCTTTACAAATGCATTGCTGACTTCATTTAAATAATGTTACCTTTGAATCAATGTCTAAATGTTGTGGTCTGTAGCATACTTCTAACATTGTATATTTTGAATGTTTTTATAAGCCTGATCCATACTGGTTCAGAAACCCTTGATTCCTCTAAGTTAATATCCTGTGCCTGAATGCTCTTTTTGATGTACAGTACTGTGCATTGCTACACCTCCTTATCTTCCATTGTTCCCATCTCTCTGGAAATCTGTGGATCCACTAATGTTGTATTGGTCATCATCGGTCTCTTTTAGCCATATTTCTGGGATTCCAATTACATTATATTCAACCTCTATAAGCAGTAGCTTCTCTCTCATGCATTTTCCTTCAGCTCTAGTAATGACTAAAAAATACAAAAGACATTTCAATTTTGACGGAGGCGTCCATTGGTGAAAGGTTCAATAATGAGATGATCACTACCTCATGAAGAAGAGGGCATTAAGAAAAGGAGGCTAACCAGTACCAAATAACTGTGAATCTTCCTAAAATGCTGGCAGCAGGGCGATTTCAGTAATCTGATGTATACTGCAAAGTTAACAGACCATCTTAAAAAGCTGAGATATGAACTTGCTGAAAAGAAACTTATTGACTCCCCAGAACCAAATTATATCAAATCCCGTGGTTGGATGAAACACAAATTGAGATTGTGGATAGGCTCGCCAGCAGTACAAGCAGCATCTGAAACGTGAAAAATGTTTCTTTCTCACATTGAAAAACGAATGTCCTGCCCTCTGTAAAGGAGATAAGTGGACCTGTCCTGCTTTAGGGCTGTTTTCTATTGTCTGGTCCAGATACGCTGCTCAGAATGGAGGGGCAGGTGGAGTCCAAGGTTTACTAGCGTATTTCAGCCAACAGTGTGTGCCTTCTGTCAAGAAACTTAAGTGTGGTCTCAAATTGACTTTACAGAGGGATACCACTTCGAAGTCTGCACCACACTTAATGACCAGATGGTCACGAGAGCGCAAAAACCAAATGATAGGTCATGATGTATCATTGCAGACTCTAGCAGGACACTTATGATATGATCTGAGGGAAGCAGATCACAAGTACAGACTGCACAAGCTAGAGAAGCTGAAGAGGCTCAGCTCTGGTCAAGAGGCTGAAAGGTTGAAGAATCCAGTCATCAGAGCCAAAAGAGGGATAGAGAAATACTCCTCACCAGGGAATTCAAACATTTCTCGATTAGTTATTTGCAATTTTATTGATGAGTGTTCTATTTATACACATATTATTAAAAAAGGAAAGGTTAAATCCATACAGAAAAGCAGAAAAAAGGCTATGGAGTCTTGTTCGGGTGTGTGGTCTCTGTAGCTGAAACGTTTTTTTTTCCTCCTTTCTTTTTAATTTTCAGTGTGAAATCAACCCCTGCTTGTCACTTTGCAACTCACACACCAACACAGCTCCCTCTTTAACTTCTACAGTACTGAAAGTCATCTAAATCCTTCATTTGTTATTTGCACGTATCTGGAAGATACTTTATATAATCTCAAAATTAAAAAAAAGAAAATTACCTGACTCTGTGAACACCTCCCCTTTCTTCATTCCAAGTTTTTTATAAATTTGCCTTTCTGGATCAACATATATTTCATGTGGATAGCCTGTCAGTGCGCAGAACGCCTGTATGTATGACCCATATGTAATATAAGTAAGAGTGATGCATAAAAATACACAGACACGTCTAGCATTTTCTAAAGGAGAACATGTACTTGATGTTTCAGATGAACTGCAAATCTGTGCTGGCCTTGTTAACAACATTCTGGTAGCAAGGAAGGGTATAACATTGCAGAAGGTCTGATTATGACATTAGTGAACAAGAGAGGACATTTCACGTTATGTTTAGAAAACAGGTCACAGTAGGGTACTGAATGCCACCAATTTGTATAGCACTGTGTTAATCATAAATTAATACAATGTTGTAATGTAACTGACCTATCTCATCTTTTGGAACACACATACCTCAATGTGATGGTGTGAAGACTGTCCAATTACTATCAACCTGACATCAGCATCCTGTTGTTGAAATAAATATGAGTTTAACCATGATATTCTCCACAGAACTATATATTTTCTACTGAAAAGGAGCAGAAACTCTGGGAATTTAGGATTTAAATGCAACTCTATGCTTTGGACATATATTGTCACACGGTTAAATCTTTTAATATTTAGAATTTCCTCTAGAAAATTATTTTTACGATTTTGAGGGTCTGAACCCCCAGCCCGGCCTGTGCAAAGCCCCAATCCAGTTATTCTTACAGGTCATCTGTTTTCAAAAGATTGCCAACAGCTGTAAAGATATTGATGAATGAAGCAGGTGGGCTATTCATTAAAGTGAACTTCTGGCTCCTGAGAGCTGAAATATACTGTACTAACAACAAGTGAAAAAATAACCTTTGCTTTTTTATTCCCAGAAATCTAAGCTCTTTTATGAGATGTGCCTTGTAATAAGGCATTTTTGTGGTTTGCTGGTAATTACCATTCACATTTCAAATAATGGAAAATAATCAAAATAAATTTAAATAACTTTTAAAAATGTAATAATTCTACTACTTACTGTGAGGAACCTCTTAGGTATTTTGGCCAGATCTTCCACATACTCTTTGCATGTGTAACACAAAAAATGCTATAAATTCAAAAGTCAAATATTTAATTTGAAACAATTAGAAACAATTGAACATAGGCTATTTATATTTTAGATGCAAAATCCACGACGAACTATTTTACTTCAGTTAACAAGAGTTCACAATCGAAATGAAAGTATACCAACACGAGAAAAGGGTGCCATTTCGGATACTGCTTCCAATGCAATCATTTAAAAATATACGTATATAATACCTGCATTTTAATAAAACACCTCTGTGTTTAATGTATCAGCACTATCCTTCTCACTCGTGAGGCAGATTCCTTTAAATCGGATCTCTAATGCTTGTATTGAAACGTTTGAATACTTCGGTATTAAAACAGGGCTTTTACAGCATCGGAACTGGTAGCAGAAAAAAAAAACTTCTTACCCTAACGAAAATAACGATTGATTTCTTGTCGTCATATAAACTTTTAAAAGGAATCCGTTTCCCGTGCCGGTTGTAAACAAAACAATCTTCAACCTCTGAGATCGGAATATTAACCGGGTTTTTCTGGTGGCCTTGCTGGGCTCTGGCGATTTGTTGTGTGACGGGAAGATCTGCAGCCATCTCAATCCATTTACAGTACAACTTTTTTTCCCTCAAGTCTTGTCCGAGCTATTTTGGGCTTGCTATGCAAAGTGTCCAAAAACTCAGAAACCACTCCCACAAAATTAACAAGTTCATGTGCAGTGAAGTAACCGAGTTCATGGAGAAATAACGCACATCTGGAAACAGAATTAATACATGCCCCTATGGACTACTGATAAATGTTTACTGCATCTCGATTATTTCATTTTACTTTCTTAAGCTTTTCCTTCCGATCTCTATGCGTCTGTGCGGCCCTGTGAAGAACCGCATTTGGTAAAGGGGTTTCATCGCTCCTGCTACAAATAACTGGTTAATTGACAAAAACCGAGTTATTGTCGACTTAAGATAAATCACTAATGATATGCAGCAACAGAACACTGAAAAATATTAAGCCTTATAGTTGTAAAATATACCGTATATCTCATGCTATTTCAGTAGCCTTTTTATGACGCCTAGCGACAATTTGGCGTATTGCATTTTGTGCATTTTTATGACAGCGCGCTGTTGTTTGCAACTATTATAAATATTATAGTAATACCAAGTAGTACCAAAAATAAAACAGTGCGTGGAATCGACAACACTTCACAGACAATGCTTTCAATTATCGGTCTGCAGACCGAAGTTAGCGACATGTTTCTGAAGAAGGACCGATTTCTCATTCCTTTATTTAAAAAGAAAATCGAAATTCAATAAAAATCAGAGCAAAATTGGATATTCTGCAGCCCTTGTCCAGTCTCTGTATTTATCTTCAATTGTGTTAGCATGTTCATTTATTTTAAGTATTTTAAAATAAATAATTGTTGTCATAAAAGCATACATTAAAGCTGAAAAGCAATATTTTGAATGGAATCGATATAATTTTCTATGTAAAAACAATTATGTCTTTACATACAGTAGTCAGGCTTGTGTTCCCATCGTTTCTAATTGGTTGGCAGACATCTAGCATAAAGGTTACCACGAATTCTTTATTAATATGACACGCAGTGCCAGGCTAAAGTGTATGATAATGAAAAGTACGCATATGCTGGAAAATAATCAGCATTTCTGATATTTGTGAGTTGCTTTTATTCTAAATGATACGCCACTGATTATTTAATCTACCGTGTATTAGACGAATTTCCTTAGGCAACTTCTTTCTTAACAAATAAAACGTGAACGGTAGCAGTTATAGTGAGTATGACAGAAGACCTCCCTCCCTTCCTACCCCTTCAAACCATGAAACCTATTTCTTATGTGTGTTTTATCTTAGCGATACAGTGTCGTTGTTGCTATGCACGGAGGCGGGCATCACCAACTTGACGGACAAGGTGAACATGCAGTCTGTGAAGCCCTGGCTTGACTGACAGGGAAGTCCTCCAATTAAAAAGCAAGGAAAGAGGCAGTACTCGTGAGTGAGGAACAGGGAATTTTCCAATCACTCTTTAAGCAGGGGGCAGGATTTCCTTTCTTGTGCTTATTCCGGAACACTTTCCACAGAGAGCAATAACATATATATGATGTGTGTACACGTTCGTACATAGCGTTGTGTCTGCAATATTTTAAGTCTGTCGAGCTGTTGGTGGTGTTTTATACGTGGATTATGAATGCACGGGTTGAAGGCGACTGGAATTGTGTGAACTGGTTGAGAAAACGTTGCTGTAAGTAAGACGAACTGTTCCTTCTCATCAAATTCAGTTAGAAAGTTGTTTTTTTTTTCTTACAGGTTAGACATTGCCAGCTGAATGTGTTGTATTGCTATATATATTTTTAAAAACTTACAAAAAACACTTAACGACCTTGCCTTTCAAGCCTGTTCTCGTGTTCCGAGATGTCTAAATAATTTTTGTCATGCACGAATTCAGCTTCTCGAGGTGAAGGCAAAATAATGATTATTTTTGCTGAGTTTCGAGGAAGGCCCAGTACTTACGGTGTGAATAAAAATTGTACTAAAACAAGTACATGTCAGGTCATTGCTGGCAATACCCCTGTTAATTTAAAAGCAGCTCGCTGCATAATATAGTGTGGAGCCCACGGCTCATGTATTTTGAATAATGGTGTGTGATCAGTTCTAGGAAGAAGTAAAATAATAAATTTGGTTATGATTTATGCAAGGCATCGATGATAAAACTATAGTTATTTTATTAGACGAACATCTGGTACCTGCAACACTAAATGCTGAAAATTGCATGGTACCAGGATGCCTGAACAGTACTATTTAGGCAGTTTTCAAGATGTGTATACAAGAGATCAGTTGAAACCAATAACGCTCTTCAAAATCCCGTCCCAAACTGTGTGGTGTGTAGAACTACCGAACAAGCACATTTGAAGCCTTAAAATATTTCCAAGATTTTTGATGTATGATTTTATAAAGGCAGTTCTACTACTGCACTAGTAGTAATAAACGCAATGATTCCAAAGTTAATTTAATATGTTGCTTTGTCTCCAACAAATTCAGATTTCGTGCAAAAAAGATACAACAGTTTTTGGAATGTGATTTTTGTTAGCCTTTTCCTGTAGTTTTGAATGAACAGCGGCCATTAAACTGAAGGCAGTAAATGCGCTTGATCTGTCCAGTCGCATTTTTCAGCACATTTAAGGTTACTAGTTTAGCATTCAGGTAGGTTTCTGAATAACACCCATAGCACCAAAAACTGCTTTCTAGGCTTGATCACCTCACCTGCTGTCTTTGATCGCCATGAACTACTGTATACTGTTCAGACATCAGTGGTGCGTTTGTTAGAAAAATGCACATATTCCTTTCTTCCTTCAGTGTTTCTGTGGAAGGCTTCCAATATTATTGATTCATTGTTGAAAGTGAATATGCACCTTTTTTTACACTAAGCATAATGAATTGGAGCACATCAATTCAAAGGACAGTGGATCCTAACAGAGCAGCTTAGCATTTAGGGCCATGTTCACTGGAGATAAAATGCACGTGTAGTTATTGTCATCCATAACTTGGCTGAGGAGCCAATGATGCGAAGCTGCCATCTGTGGGATTATGAGTGAATGTCTCCCAGTCAGGATCCCCTCTAAAAGGTAGGGAAAGGGAAAATAGTTTTCTGCAGTGAGGTGTCACTGTCTATTAAACCTTATCAGACTAAGCTCAGATGATACAAAGGTCTTTGCCTGTATGTGTGTGAAAGTACTTTGAGAGTACTCAGATTGCTGTTTCACATCACAGCACATCACATCGGTGGGTGGAAAGCAAAGCTCACTGCTGTTGTCCTAGATAGCCTAATGGAAACAACACTTGGCTCTTAAATGATTGACAACACAGTTGTGTTGCCTCTTGAATCGGAATAACAGAAAGGCTGGTCAGCCAAGGCCTGGGGAATTAAGAATGTAATTCCCTTCCAAAAT